CTTCCTCCCCCCAGCGGAGGCGGACGCCATTTTGCCCGCGTTGCTAGCGCGCAGTGTGCGTGAGGAGGAAGCGGAGCGGCAATGCCACCGGAGGAACGAGGAGATCGACACCGTGTTCTACGAGCAGGGAGTCGCGTCGGCCCTAGCGTTTGGCGAACAAGGAGGAGGAGTGGCGCCACGAGGCCGCTGAGCAGGAGCGGATCTTCGTCGACCTCACCTCCGAAGGCGACTCCGATTGAGCGCCGCCGCTGGTCAGCTATCACACGAGGTCCGGTGAGCTTCATTTTGTCTAGTGCTAGGGTAGCTCTGGCGAGCTTTTATGTAAATATATCTATACTGTGTACGAACCATCTGCCCCTATGTAAAGAATGATCTATGCTCCAGCGAGCTTTTGCGTTAAATTTCTCGCGTGAAACATGATTTTAAAATTTTACGGTTTTGGATGCAGTTTCTGATCTGCCACGGCGATTTTGAGCCTGTTTACAGTTTCGCAGAATATGGGGTCTGCTAGAGATGCTCTAACAGAGCCCCTCTTTTTTTTATCAAATTCATTTCATGCAACAATGAAAACCCTACAAAGTACTTGGTGTTTTGTTATACTTTTAATCAATCAATGTGCTACGTCAATGACATATCAATTCCTCTCACTGTCCAAAAAACCACAATGCCCTAATCTGTGAGTAAAATATGAAAATACCGCATCATCCATGAGAGCGTGAATTATTGTTTCTCACTCGTTCGAATTCAATCTGAAGCTATCGGAAAGACCTAATTAATCTGAAATGAAAACGACCTATATTAAAATTGAGCAAGCAGTCGAGCACACATAGGTGGAGAATTTTCATTACCTTTTTGCGGAGTCCGAATTCTCCCCAGAGCAATCAGTTGAGATCCAAGTTGGCCTGATTTTCTCCCACGGTATTCAAGCCGGCTGCCATTGCAACTCGGCGGTCGAGCTTCGTTGGAAAAATTGATGGAGCAGGAGAAAAGAATGGGAGAGGGCGAGGAAGCCACAAGTGAAAGAACTGCGAAAGCCATAGTCATAGACAGACCTCTCCGGATGGGAATCCAAGGTAACGCGACCAAGGCGCGTCTAAATTATCAGGAGCAAAATTTTCTTTCATGGAACCAGCCAACCTGCATGCAACCGTCTACTCCTCCCGCCGATTGCATGTCTATCGCTAGCAATGCCCAATAAACGGTGGTTAATATAGCTACATGCACGGTTCTCATTCGTACGGATCGCCATAAATATAGGATCACTCGACCACTAGCGTCGTCTTCTTTCGATTATCCTGCATTACATTTGTTTCTTTTTTATCTAAACTAGCGAGGTGGCCCTCGAAAATGCAAGGGCAACAATAGTTTGTCAAGAGTGAGTGCGGAATAATTTTAGAGTTGCACCATAGGAAACAAAAAAGTTTCCACATCCAAAAATAAATGATATGTCAAAAGAAGTATCACACGTTTGGAGCCATTTCTAATTATTCGTAATTTCTTGCCACATTATGTCTAGCTTCTAGAACATGATACTAAATTAAATGACCATATGCATCGTTTGTACATAATAGTTTCAAATTTTTCCTATGGCTAGCAGTGCACAATAGATGTTGGACTACCGGCAGATTGGCACGAAGGGGATTGTCCCAGTCAATGCCCCCTGTGTGATCAAGAGCCAGAGATAATCCCGTTAAGAATAAAGCGACGTCATTAGCGCTAAGAGTCGTCACGTGTGTCCAAAACGCCGTACGAACGTCCGTACGGGCGTCTTCTCGCGCCACAGGCGCCTATTGTAAACTGACGCCTCTTCGGAGGCGCCCCAAATCCTTCTATAAATAGGGCTTTGCCCAGAATCAATAAACACAAGTTTTCTCTCGAATTCTTACACGTTATCAAGCCACGCTAGCCTCTACCAACAGAGCACGAACAGGACGAGAGAGAAGTAAGATGGCAGGGATGAACCTGCACAACATCGCCTCTGCACTTGTTCGTTTCATCCGACGAGAAATCCATCGATCTGCGAGACGACAAATGGCTAGAGTTTATCACCCTTGGGGCCCAGGCAACGGCCGCCGTGGTCGTCGTGGCCGCCGTGGTCGTCGTGGTGGTCAGGATTACCCTGACCCTGCCGCGGCAGATCAGGCAGGACCAAGCAACCCGCCCGCGGCCGTCCACCATGCCTACCAGGCACCTCCGATGCCGGCCTTCGTCGCTCCGCCAATGGACTGGGCTCCCGCCGAGGCTGCAGCCCCGTTCCTGGGCGAGGAGGAGTTCTTCGACGCTGCTCAGGCCCCGCCACCGCCAGGGATCTTCTTCGGCAATGGCATGGACGCAGGCGTGGCCTTCTGTCCGGTGCACATATACGGCCCTTGCCCTGCCCGCGATTTCTGCCCCGTGCACGGGTACGGGCCGTGCCCTCCACCGCCGGCCTCTCCACCATCGGAACCGGAGGTCATCGACGAGCCACTCGCCTACCCGGACCTCCCAACGCCGACGCCCGCCGACGAAGACAAGGAGCACTTCGCCCCTCCAGGCTATGGCCCTGTGCACGCCATGATGGAGTGGGAGGTGACGCCGAACGAAGAGGAGGAGCAGTGGCTCAACTCCGTTGTGAAGCAGGAGCCAACCACGCCGGCGGAGACCGACGAACCCGGCGCCACCATCCCCGACCTCAACACTGCCACCGGCATGAAGATCGAGGATGAAGCATCGTCTTCCACGGCCCAAGCATCTCCACCGCCTCCACCCCCGGCAAGCCCGCGAACGCCTCCACCGACGACTCGCCGGATCCTTCACCATTTCACGGCGGCGCTGGAGCAGCACCGCCTCGGCCTCCGCTCCGGCTCCTGGGCCCCTGCAGGCCTCCA